GAAAGACTTTTTGCCCCCTTACAGGGATACCAGATTTTGCAGCTCTTGACTCCTGCAGTGGGGATAAGGTCACATCCAGAGAACGAGTCGAATCCTCTGGCACTGAGCACCCAGAGTGCATTATTAAGCCCAGTAAACTCAAGAAGAAATTTTCAGAGGGCCACACTTTGCAGCTAATGTGAAAAATTTCTTCACAGCAAGCTGTTTCATGGGTCCCTCTCATTACATACAATGTAAACACTACATCAGTCAAACGATTAGGATGTTAAGTGTTCTCTTAATAGGTAAAGATCTGTGGTGATGGCACGCTTAGTAACAAGGGTGACGACAGCACCAGAAAACTGCACAACTGGTAGGTCACCTTCAGAAGGGCACTGATTTCTGTCTTTCTTTCTCCTATTCTGCTTAATCTGTCCAAGTAAACCAATGTACACTGAAACACAAAAGCAAATGCCTTTGGAGTTTTTTGCTTGTGCTTTCTCTCATATACTATTTGTTTAAAAGTGTACCCCAGTACTATACAAGACAAGTGTCACATCGGTTACAGAAACACACGTCAGATGTGCAGTCAGATTGGCTACCATAGGGCTTCAGGCCAGACACAACTGGGCAAACCAGAAAGCCTTCCTAGCATTTTCTGAGCGCATCTCTCTCAGCAGTGGATCAGCAGCACCTCTTAGCAACGGCCACAGGGATGCGTTTGCTATGAAAATGCTGACTTAGGGGTCATGACGAGACCTCAGTGCTGTGGACTGGGGGTCTGTAGCTTAAAAATGGAGCCAAAGCAAGGTGATAAGTTGAGAGGGTGCCTTTGATCGAGTGCCTAAAGGCTGATTTGCACCCAGAAGTCTGACAGTTTATGAGGCTCATGGCCCATGGACCTGGCTAGCAGATATGCCAACAACCAATCACTTCAATTATCCTCTCTGTCTCACTGGGTGAAATGCAACCCTCTCTAGAGGGGCCAGCAGGAGACCTATGTACCATTTACGTCCTATGCTGAAGGCTGAAGGGAGATGAGCGATGTGGATGTGTTGTGGTGGTCATCTGGCACAGGGATGAACTGCACTCATCCAGGTTTTCCCCAATGGTCTGTTTCTCCCTTTCCTAGAATATATCAATATCCCTGCACATATTTAAATCATGACTGCCCTCTGTAACAGTGTTCCACAAACTAATGAGGCCTTGTTTCCTATAGATTAAGGCTTCAGATTTATTAATCCCTCCATTTTATATTCTTCAGCATGCTCTATCGCCTCTTGCCAGCAGTATCTCCCAAGCTTTTTCCCAGGTCTGATAGAAGCCGATCCACAACCAGCCAGCAGTTTGTTGTCTCTGATTGTGGAGCAGGGGCTGAGTTATCACTGCCTTTACCCCAATGACAGTATTATGCTGAGTTTCTGTTTCCTGCCCAGTCAACACCTATCACACAACTTGGAGGACCTGCCTGTGTTTCTAACCTCTGCTTCCTTGCCAGCACTGGTTGAAATGGGCCAACAAGTTACAAATGAGTTGAGTGAGGCTGAGACTGCCAGCCAGCCAGCATGACTGCACAAGCTTTGTTTCCTTTGAGAAATCAGACTGTAAACAGCAGAGGGAGAGTACCAGAGAGGGACAGTAATTACTTAGGCTAAAGGGAAACTTTGGCTTGCAAACAAAGAATGTAAACTGACTGAATTATTTGAAGCTAGAATCTAGAGGGAAATTTGTATCTATCAGAGTGGGGATGCTCTGGAACTGCTTCCTAAGGGAACAGAGCTATGACAAGAAAATGGTAAACTTCTACGATGGCACTTGATGAAAGGAATTAGATGATGCAGCTGCTTGCAATAGAGACAGCATGAACACCATGACTCACCAGGAAGGTCTCTGTGTTCCTGAATGTGTATGTACATCTTGTGTGGGGGTGGAGGTGTGGTAGGGATGTACATATATGCACTTCAATTGTGGCACACATTAAATGAAAGATCAAGCCTGTTCATGCTCTCATTCAGGAAAGGGAACATTTTAGTCTGTGGCAGAAAACAGGACTGCTTTCTATTCACACTCGCTAAACACCCCAACAAGATCATGTCCTGAATCCCTCGTAACCATTGCACCTGCCAGTCTGAAATGGGTCGATTCTCTTCTGATCCGATGCTGGTTTGGCCGAGGCCTGGAAGTTAGTATTTTGATCAGGACCAAGCTGAAGTTCCTCAGCATTTGTCATATCCATGTGAACCACAGTTGAAAAATTAAGCCTTACAGACTATGCTGGGTTTATTCCACAAAACCACATCACCCGAGGATAAAACTGGCTTCTGTCTGAAACTCTGACAGACCTTCCCCCTACCCTGTCCTCCTCAGTAGTAGTCCAGAAGCGAAGCCCAGGGCAGGCTGTGTGCCGATGTGCACACAGCATAGCCTCACTGACTCCCACTACTTCTTGGTAGTCCCTAGCAGGAATCAGACACTGTGCTCCAACACCTTCTGTGCTGTTTGAACGCTGTCTGTTGAAGTACTGGGAGGTGAAGGGCATTTATGGATAGCCTGCTAGGAAATCAAGTGCTAAAGGTATTTTCTTCAGGGTTTAGATGAGGCATATATTGATCTGCACTCAGCAGGGTAAACTAACTCCCTTCCTACATGTAAGGGCCTGACTGGCCATCTAAACAGGAACAGGCTGTGGTCCAAGGGCAACTTCTGCACTAGACCAGAGGGGATATTCTTGGGTTAAAGTGGCTGACATGAGGAGAAGAGACAGGCTAGCAATACCTGTGAATCTCCTTGTTATATATATATATATGCCTCCCTAAGGCTGTTCACAGAAAGTGAATTAGGATTTCAAACTCTCTGTGTACAACAGTCTCCAGTCTGGGGGCCTCCAGCAGGCCCTCCTCTGTCAGTACTGCACCATGGGGTTCAAGATGAGCAGAAATTTGTAGAAACATTGAGTCGAAGGCAGAGAAATGCAAGAGAGAATTTTCTTCACTTGTGCCCCACTGGTCAAGACAACATCAATGACTGAAAACTGCTTACGAAAGAGAAAGAATTACGTTCTGTTGCTGCCTAGAATCATTCTGTTCTGCTGCTTTCCACAAGAGGGAAAGCCCCTAACTTATCAGCATCTGGGCAAAGAATCCATAAACAGCTTCCCTTCTGTGGCTTACTGGACTGGTACACTCCAAAACAAAGATACTCAAAGAACAAAAATTGTGTTGCTGATGAAATTCCAGGCTATGAATATCTCTTCCAGGAAGCTGATGATTTATGTTGTCCCCGCTTTGCAGTTATGGCCTCTGAGCAGCTCTACCACAAACCCTGTGCCTAAAGCATTTGAAAGT